TTCTCTTTTATTAATCTCACAAGCTCTATAGCTCACTCTTTCTCTATATTTCTCTTTTTAATCTCCATCTTTCTACAAGTTTTATAACTTGAAAGCCCAATCTCCTTCATCCCAAAAAGGTGGAAGATGTAACCATAGGATCTTGCCGGATCAATAGCGTCTCATCGTCGCCGGCAAGTAACTCAAAGATGGTCAGACCTTATCCGAATGCAGTATCCAAAATGGTCAAAATCTTGTCTTTTGATTTCTACAATTGTGCTTAGAATTTTTTTTTTTTTTTATGAAAAAGGCTGGATTAGAGTTTAAAATGGGATTTCTTTACTTTTGCATTGTGTTGACAACCTTGAGATTGCAGAAATTAGGATATGCTTGAACGACTTTTGATTCTTTTTTGGATTTGGCACTTGGGAAATGTGATGGCTTTGGATATTTATTTGGATCAAAAAATTGAAGAAAATGGATCATCAAACATTGTAGGAAATTTGGGCCACAAAAACGAAAGGCCCAAACTCGAGAAAGTCTAAGGCTAGAATTGGTAAAAAAACCGAGATCGATGCCAACCGAACCGATTAATTCGGTTACAAAATCGAATAACCGAAATATTGATCGGTTCGATTTTTGGTTGTTACTTTATAAAACAATCAACCGATAAAAACCATCAATTCAGGTTCGGTTCCAACCGAACCGAACCGATGCCCACCCCTAATCACGGGGATGTATTTTCAGCCAATCACAGCATGCCACGTTATTATTTATACTGTTAAATGAGCTGACATGATTAATGAAGGGAAATTTTTTTTGATAATATGACATGCTGTAATTGGGCAGAGGTATCAGGTCAGCGGTATCCCGGTATACAACAGACTTTCTCCAATTGGAGATACAATTATCTTATCCCTGTCGTCTTTAGTCTACGTACACAAATATCTCTCTTATCCCTATTCTAACTCTGGACGAAAATGCCTGCAGGAACTTCATGCTTCCTCTGATCATGCCCACAACGTCTCTAGTAATCCCCAAACCCTCCCTCTTCCCAAGAAAGCTCCAGAATGTTTCTTTCACATGCAAAGCTTCTTCTTCTTCTTCATCCTCCTCTTCCCTATTGGATTTCGATCTTTACGGTCTTCTGGGCATCGATAGCTCCTCCAATCAAACTCAAATCAAGACTGCCTATCGCTCCCTGCAGAAGCGCTGCCATCCCGACATCGCCGGACCTGCTGGCCACAACATGGCCATCATTCTCAATGAAGCTTACTCTGTTTTATCCAATCCCACCGCTCGTTCATCTTGTGACAAGGTTACTCATTTCTGGGTCCAATCGATACAATCAGTTTCAAATCAATTCCCTGATGAAATTAAGAAAAAACGCATTTGAAATTTTGGGATTTTTCTTGCTTATGAATTTGGGTTTTGGGGTACAGGAGCAAGCAAAGATTGAAGAGCTGAGGGGATATACAGGAAAACCCTTGTACTCTGTTTGGCTGGGTTCTGAAAATGAGCGAAGAGCAGTGTTTGTTGATGAAGTGTAGTGTGTTGGTTGCTTGAAATGTGCCTTGTTTGCGGAGAAGACATTTGCCATTGAATCAACATATGGAAGAGCAAGGGTTGTGGCTCAGTGGGCTGACCCCGAACACAAAATCCAAGAGGCTATTAGATCATGTCCTGTTGATTGCATTTCGTAAGGATCTTAATATTTGCCTTTTGATTTTGATTGATTCATGGTGGCTCAAAAAATTAGTACATTATTTTTACTTTTTGGAAAGCAATTACTTATAGCTAAGTACTGACGGTGGTGAACTTAATCATAGGATTGTAGAGAGATCAAAGCTTGTAGCCCTTGAGTTCCTAATGTCCAAGCAGCCACGTGGCAACGTAAGAGTGGGTGCCAGAAACACTGTAGAGGCACGTGTCTCGAATATATCTGATGATTTCAAGAAGTTTTAGCAGAGATTTGTTAATGCCATGGACAAAGCTGCCATGAAAAATTTCAAGGTATGAGAATGGGACCGTGTTGTATTGGGAGATTTCTAGCATCATTACTATGGACAATTGAGGTTTCCCTTTAGCATTTTCAATTCTAATTGATTTTGTTAGTTAGAAAATGAAAAAAGAATGGCAATTTATTATGTCTTTTGAGGTGATTCTCCAAAGAGATTATTAGCATTTTGTCTCTGTTTTTTCTATGTATTTATCAAAGGCTCATGCTGTCAAACACCAGAAGTAACTTGGGTTTTTTCCAAGAGGAAAATGGTTATAGGGAAGAAAGGATGTCTGCAATCCAAGCAATCAAATCAATTTCAAAATGGTTATATTGGAAACCATCAAATGCGGGAGGTTCCATGTCAGAATGTCATCAAAACTTGACACACATTCCGCAAAAGTCGAAGGAACAAGACATTAACAAGCTCCGAGATGCTGCTGCTACTCGGAAACAAGCAAGAAATAGCTTGAGAACAATCAGCAGCTAGAATCAAACAGTTTGTATCACGACGGGTACTGGATTCCCTCAAGACAGGCCCTTCCTGCCTCAATTGATGGTTTCAATGATACTTCTAAAGTTGCTTCAAAGCCTCTGCATACCATAAAACTGAAGGAAAAAGATAACCAAGTTCACAATAAACATGGAAAAGAAAGGAGAAACAGCTTTGAGTGGGGACTTCCAGTGATGACAGCAACAATTGCTGCAATTAGTTATAGTACGATTACAAGTTGCAGGCACAATGGTTAGTGAAGGAGAAGAACATATAGGTGGTTCTTTGGCGTTAGCAATAGTTAATAGCTCTTGGATGCAGGTTATACTAGCAGGGATTACATGGTATTGCATTGGAATTGCAATAGTAGAATTAGTAGAAACTCTTTGGAATAGGTGAGAGAAGTATACGAAGAAAGGACACTGTTAATGAAAACAACTTCATTTGCCATTGTAAATACTTGCAACAGCAATTGTATTGAACATTTATATCAACAATAATGAATGTTCATTTGCCTAAATCTAAAGACTTGAACCAAAATAAGATGGATAACACTTGATGTCCACAGTATATATTAGCATGCTCATGCAAATTATGAACAATATATTTGCAAAATAACATTAAAAAGTACATCTTCATTAAGGAAATTGACAAATTTTGCCAACTTTGAAGCATCATTTCTTACAAGGTAAACACTCTTGCTTGTTAAACAAATAAAAGATCCATGCATCTATGGTACCATAGTATTTTCTTCGCCAGTTCACACTGAAGAAAAGTGGTGCAACGACACTCCAAAAACCAATCGAATATAATATAAACACGAATGAATAGAAAACCAATGGTTCATGAAGAACTCCTTTTTCTTCCTTCTCATTCCAATCATGTCTTCTTCCGTCATCTTTGTGGAAATTATTTGGGCATTCTTTTTGGATTTGTTCCCCACAGAGTCTTGGGTTGCCCATAAAGCTAGTTTCGCTGAATGTTGAAAGCTGTTGATCAAATGGGATCCTGCCTGAGAGGTCTGTTTGGGCAGCTTCGCAGTCCAACACTGTTGAAGTTCTTAGCTGCTTCCACACCTGAAAATCCCGAGGTTGTTTCCTCGGGGAAAACACTCCGACGCTCAAGTCAGCAATACTCAATGTTATAGAGAGAGAAACTCTTAAGGAGTAATTGCAGAGGGAGAAGCGTAGAGATTAATTACCTCCTTCAGAGGTAGTTGGGGGGTATTTATAGCCCCTTGGTGCTGACACACATCTGCACGTGTAAGCATCCCCTTGGCCCACGTGGCGCTGGTCACGCGGGTATGCTTGTACTGATGCTCCTTCAGCTTGGGCTAATTGGTGGTAACTTAGGCCCGTTATGCACAGCCCTGTTTGGGTGTTGGGCCTATTAGGCCTATTCCAACATTACTCCCCCCCCGTTGTTCGGTTGACGAACTGGGATAGATGTGACCGCGGGTCAATGTGCTAGCTGGTGACTATGACGGACAGCTTTAACAGCTTACGGCCGACCTTGTCGATGGCCGAGCTGAAAGGTAATACGAAAAGGGGCGAGCTCGCGAACCTGAAAGCGTGGAGGCGAGCTGATATCCTTAGCCGCACTAGTGTGTGCTTGTTATGGTGGTGAGCTGAAATGGTTCACCATAGATGAGCTCGCATAGGGAGCGGCCATGTATGTAACGCCATTTTTAGCGAGCTCGTCCGCGTTAACGTGACCGCTGGAGGGCGTGTGGCGACCTGACCCTTGATTATTTCCGGAGTGCGACCAGATGATGCTCTTTTGCCACGATCGCGAGCTGAAATTTTGGAGGCAACACGGGTAGTGCTGTTAAATAGGGCGATCTCAAGTACGCCTTGGTCTGTGACGAGCTGAATCTTGGGAGATTTTAGCAAACGATCTACAATTGTAAACGAATTGTCATGGGTAAGCTGACCTGGCAAATATGTCATATTTGTGACGACCTAGTAAGTGTGCTCGCAACGGCGAGCTGATATGACGGGATAGGCTACATATAAGCCGTTACGATCTGAATCTTGTGGATTTTGAAAATCAAAATCCACCAAATCTCTTAGGAGATACGGTTGATCTCCCTGTATCCCTCTGTCTTCCCCGTCATAAATGCTGGCTCAGCATTTGAGGGATGTGACAGCTAAAGCCGGCGCACGTTATGCAGAAGGGACGTTAAGCGTGTGCCACGTGTAGGATGCGAATTGGCGCGTCAGAGACACGCGTGCAGCCATTAAGACTGGCATATTTCCCTTTGCGTAACCGTTTCTTTTTCCATTTTCACTTTTGTGTTTGCTTGAAACCTTCTGAAACTCTCTGAAGCGAGGCAACTCCGATCTTGAAGAACAGAACCTTGAACCAGCTTCACGTCATTTCCAGGTAAAATGGTTTCGTTGAGAGAAATATCAGAGCTACGAGGTAACTAGGGCAGAGATGGAGAAGAGGAAGCGGTATTATCAGTGGAGCCTATCACGATGATAGTGCCGCCTGAGTTGCAGGATTCGCCGAAAACAATGGCGCTTGAGGGAAGCGCCAGTTCGAGCACTAGGGATGATGGTGGCGACCACCATGTTGCACCGTCAAGCAGCTCGTCCTCCGAAAAAACACCCAGCCACGAGGAAGGGATGGGGGATGTGGTTAGCCATGCCTCAGATCGACCCATGATTGGTGAGTGGGAGAGCAGGACAATCACGGGCAGGTTGGACAACCTGCGAAAGGCGCCCAAGGACCTGCCCGCTGGATTTAGGTTCCGGGCCGCGCTTCATCATGAAGTAGCAGACTGCACGCCCTCAATCAGTGGGTACAGAAAATTGGAGGATATAGTGAGGGCGTACCACATTCCCCGGACAATACTGTTACGAACAGGTGCACCAAATGAGGGGCTTGCACGGTGTCACAGACGGGCTAGATCCCAGTGTATGTGGACCACTTTGATGCCGCCCTGCGGTTTCTCCTGCCCTGATTGGTGTTCGATCTGTTGGCAGATTACGAGCTGGCGCTAACGCAGCTGACGCCCAACAGCATAAGGTTTATCATTGGCTTTATGCTGTTGTGTGAGCGATTAGAGGTACCGGCCAAGGTGATCGTGTTCAGGTCGCTGTTTCAATGCCGGCTGTGTCCCAACTCCCGAGGCGCGAAGTGGTACTACCTCTCTGGGAGAAACAAGAGCCAGTTGTTCAAGAATGTCCGGAACAAAGTGGCGAGGTGGAAGAGGCAATTTATATTTGTTCGCGACATGCAAACGGAGAGGATAAGCAACGACCTCGCTGCTCGGCTATCCGAGTGGCGTGTGCCCAATGCACACGTCAACTACCCTCAATTACTGCCACGGGACACAGACCTCAAAAATCAGCTGCTGGACTATGCGAGGAGGGAGAATCTGATAGATCTAGACGCCCTGGTTACCTCGGAGCAGCTCGCTGTGTTCGGGTTTGTCGATGTGGCAAACCTGTTCACTGAAGGTATACATTTATCGTATATTCTGAATTCTAGCCGAGCTGAGTCTTATGTATTTGTTTGTGCAGGAGAAATGAGCAGTATATTGGAGCACCAACGTCAGCGAGCACAGAGCTCCCGAGGTTGCGGGCCGGGCAGCACCTCGCAAAGAAAAACGTGGTTCGACGAGCGACCGCTAGCCGCGCCTCAATCGCGCAGCTTGTCCCAGCGAGGGTCCAGCTTGGCATCTAGGCCGCGGGCTGAACATAGAGCTGAGGTTGCAGCCCCGAGTGCACGTAGACGTGCACGCGAGGAGACGGAGAGCGAGGAAGATGAGGTCCCCCTTGCTCAGCGTAGAACAAGCGGGGGGACTCAGCCCACGCAGGTGGCTCGTCCTGCAACCGTGCGTTCACCCAATGCGCCGTCAGCTACTGCGCGGGCAACAGTCGAGCCTGCCACTACATCGGCTTCGATGTCGGGCCCCAAGATTGCTTATCCTAAGGGCTTCAGCTATGTGCGGGCGGAGTGCCAGCCCGCCATGGTGCAAGGCATGCACAGCTTTGTGCTCCCCATGGATAGAAAGCGGGCAAAAGCTTTTGTGCAGCAGCATGGTGGGCAGGTCGCCATGATAAAACTGATGGATGTAAGTATCTGCTCGTACCTGCTTGAATGTTTTGCTTTTCCTTTTTAAAGACTAACAGTGACCACTGTTTGGCAGGTGTTCAGCTACGCAGTAGCGCTGTACAAGAGCGAGCAGGGGGCTCGTACAGAGAACCAGGAGCTCGGCTCAAAGTGCAAACAGCTGGCCGCGGAGAAGGCTAGCCTTGTGGACGATGTGAATCGTCTGCAAGGCTCTGAAATGATGAACCGAGCTGCGGCTGCAGAGAGCCGAGCGGACGAGCTCGCCAATAGGATCAATGAGCTCATGGAGGAGCTAGAGCGAGCCCGTGCGGAGAGAGAAAGCGGAATTCAAGCGGCAAAGGACGAGGCCGCTCGGGTTGAAGAGCGGGCCAAAAGGGCTGAGGACCAGAGGGATCGTGCTCAGACCGAGCTGGGTTCCCTGAGGTTCCAGGTCGCTAAGGCTGACAAGAACCTCAGCGCTACCGAAGAGGCGTTGAACGCATTGAAGGCATCTCATGCGCGCTCCGTTGGTATTGCCCGAGCTCAAAGGGCTGAATGGCTGGTCAGCTCGTCCACGTTCCAAGACGCAGTGGCGGTGGCGTCTGCAAACGTAACCACGGAGATCTACAACGAGATTCGTGGGAAAGTGCTGCACCACCGCCTAGATTTTCCAATACGCGAGCTGGTGTTCTTTGACGAGGAGGAGCTTGACGACCAGGGTAAGAGCCTTGCTCCCCTTGGTGACACAACTGTGAGGCTGAGATGGGATTTAAACGAAGAGGGCATGCCCGTCTGGCCGCCGTCCGTGCTGGAGGACGGGGAAGATCCAGCAGGGCTGCCCTCATTTGACGCATGGGTAGAGGGTGCTCCTGTAGCTGAGCGGGAGCCTTCAAGCACCCCACCCAACTCTCAGCCCACGGGGGTGCCAGCCAGCTCGCCCGTCCGTGCACTAGTCTCTGAGCCCGCAGCCTGGTCTCCTCCAGCTCGCTCTCCTACAGCTGCTGCTGATGCATCCATGCCCATCGACCTGACGGATGACTAGACTTAGGGTTTTTTCTTTTTGTCTTTTGTATTTTCTTTTGCTTACTTGTATTAATCAATGACATTATATGTCATGTACTTCAACTGTAAATGATCATCGATGAAATACAAATTGAGTTCCCTTTTTGAACTTTCTGTGTTTTGATTTCTCTATAAAATGCCATTTACAACTGATCCATGACGGCCTGAACGCTAATAACATACACGTTAACTGTACAGCTAATTCTTAACTGTAAAACTTTCTAAGGTTATGTATGTTCCAAATGAATGGTAATGGACGACCTTGTAAATCTGTTAACTGGTAAGACCCAGGTCGTTGAATAGAAATAACCATATAAGGTCCTTCCCAATTAGGCGCGAGCTTGCCCATGTGCGAGTAAGCATTCGTCAATCCAGCTTTGCATACAACCAGATCGCCGACTTGAAACTGGCGAGCTCGAACTCTTTTATTGTAAAACTTTGCAACACGACTTTGATGCGCCATGTTTCTTATTCTAGACATCTCCCTGACCTCTTCCACGAAGTCTAGGTTTTCTCTCAACAGTTGCTCATTGTTGAGATCGTCATGCTAGCCTGCTCGATCAGATGGCAATCCCACCTCTACCGGGATGATGGCCTCAGCTTCATAGGCCAGGCTGAAGGGGGTTTCGCCCGTGGCCGAGCTGGGAGTAGTACGACATGACCAAAGCACTTTGTTGAGCTTGTCGACCCAACTAGAATGTGTAGCCAAAACGCGTGTCTTGAGGCCTCGCAAGACGATTTTATTGGCGGACTCGGCTTGTCCGTTGGACTGTGTAGTATACATGGACGTCAACGCGAGCTCAATGCCATAGTCGTTACAAAACGATCTTAGTGCTGCTGCTCGGAACTGCGGCCCATTGTCAACGATAATCCGCTTAGGTATGCCGAACCTGCATACAGATGAGCGAGCTGAGCTACAATTCCCGTTTGCATATATTTTATGACCTCGGTCATCAAAGAATACCTGCACAATATTGAATTGAACAAGAATTCTTCTATTTTCCTTTCTGTTGTCGTGGACAGCGGTTTAGCTTCTATCCACTTAGTGAAGTAATCCACTGCAACGATCAGGAAAGTGCATCCTCCTTTGCCTTTGATAAAAGGGCCGAGCAGGTCGACACCCCATTGAGCAAAGGGTCGGGGAGACGTGAGAGACGATAGCATTTCCCCTGTTTCAAGGAAGATACCTATGCTTAGTTTAGAGACAAACACGGGGTTTGCATGTTCTTTAGAATAGGCTCAGATACTTGGCATGTGTATATCATCAGCATTGAACTGGCAGGTCGGACATTTTCTAACATAGCTTTGCGCGTCCTCGACCATGGTGGGCCAGTAATACCCATGCCTCAGGAGTTTCCGAGCTAAAGTTTTGCCACCGATGTGCGTGCCACATACTCCTTCGTGAACTTCTCTCACGGCGTATTCAGCTTCGTAAGGAGTAAGGCAGCGTAATAAGGGCATTGAGGCTGCTCGTTTGTAGAGCTGGTTATCTAACAAAGTGAAATGTGCTGCCCTTCGTTTAATCAATTTCGCGGCGGACGGATCTTCAGGCAGCTCGCCACCTTGCAAATAATTTATGAGTGGGGTAGTCCAGCTCGATGTAGAGGGATCCCTGCTTAGCAGTTGACACTCGACCGTGAAATCAGTATAGCTTAGGGCGTCCAGCACTTCGACGATGGTTGACCTCTTAGGGTTAAAGTCCCGCAAGGAGGCCAACTTTGATAGCTCGTCAGCTCGGTGGTTGTCTGCTCTTGGTATTTTGTCGATCTAGAAAGAGGCAAATCTTGACCTCAATTTATTGACCACAGAAGTATAACGACCAAGCTGAGGATCCCTGATTCCACAGCTGCCTTTTACCTGGCCTACCACGAGCTGAGAGTCGCTGAAGACTTGAATGTTCTGTACCTTCAGCTCGGACGCCAGCTTCAATCCATAAATGAGGGCTTCATACTCTGCAGCATTATTGGTTGTTTGGAACTTAAACCTCAACGCATGCTCGGATTTAAAGCCATCAGGGCCCAGTAGCACAGCTCCAGCACCCGATCCGTCGACATTAGCAGCTCCGTCTACGTACAAAACCCAAACTGGGTACTTAGGTGCCTTTTCTTTCACAGTCGCCAGGGCACATTCTACCAAGAAGTCTGCCATGGCTTGACCTTTTACAGTCGTGCGCGGTTGAAATTTGAGGTCATACTCACTCAGCTCGACACTCCATCCGATGAGCCGACCAGAGAGTTCTGGCTTCTGCAATATTTTCCTTAGTGGGAAATCAGTATAAACAACAATCTGATGAGACTGAAAATAAGCTCTCAGCTTACGAGCTGTGCAGACCAAAGCAAAAGCAGCCTTTTTTGCTAGCGGGTAGTTTTGCTCGGCACCTTGTAACACTTTGCTCACGTAGCAGATAAGCTTCTGATTCTTATTCTCTTCTTTCAGTAGCACTGAACTTACTGCTTCTTCTGTGACCCCCAGATAAAGATATAAACATTCCCCATCGACAGGCTTGGACAGCAGGGGTGCGGATGCCAAATATTGTTTGAGCTCGTCAAACGCTTGTTGACATTCATCAGTCCACTGGAAGTTTTTAGGCTCCCGTAGAGCTTTGAAGAAGGGAAGGCACCTTTCTGCCGATCTGGCTATAAACCTGTGCAACGCAGCTACCCGACCTGTCGGACGCTGTACGTCTTTTACTGTGTTGGGAGGTTCCATCTGCTGAACGGCCTGTACCTTCTCTGGATTTACTTCGATTCCTTTCTTGGATACCACGTACCCTAGGAATTTCCCCGATTCCATAGCAAACGTGCATTTCAAGGGATTCAGCTTCATTTGGGCTCGGCGTAAGTTTAGAAAAGTTTCATCCAGGTCGTCGATGTGATCCTCAGCTCGCACGCTGGTGACTATCATGTCATCTACATACACTTCTATGTTTCTGCCGATCTGGAGCTTAAAGATAATTTGCACCAGCTTCTGGTATGTTGCTCCAGCATTTTTGAGGCTGAACGGCATCATGACATAGCAGTAGATTGCGTCACCAGCGTAAAAAGTTGTTTTTTCCTGGTCGTCTAGCGACAGTTGGACTTGGTGGTAACCTGAGCTGGCGTCAAGAAAACTCATCCGTTCATGTCCTGCTGCCCGTTCTACTAACTTCTCGACGTTTGGCAAGGGATGAGGGTCTTTTGGACACGCATCATTGAGGTTGGTGAAATCAATACACATCCTCCACTTGCCATTTGGCTTTTTGACGAGCACAGGTTTGGACACCCATTCAGAGTACTCGACTCTTCTGATGAAGCCTGCCTGCAACAACTTTTGTATCTCTTCGTCAATGGCAGCTTGCTTCTCGAGGCCAAAAAGGCAACGTTTTTGAACCACTGGCCTTTTGGTGGGGTCTGTGCTGAGCTTGTGGACTGTCAACTCTGCCGGAATGCTGGGCATTTCGTCCGTAGTCCACGCAAATACGTCCTGATTATTCCTCAGGAATTCCAGAAGTTCTGCCCGTTCTTCCCCTGTGAGTTTAGTGCCGATCTTCACTGTTCTCTCCGGCACATCCGGGTTTAAAGGCACCGTTTCCACTGGCTCTACTGGCTCTACCTTCTGCTCAACGCTCTTAGGTCGACGCTCAAGTCAGCAATACTCAATGTTATAGAGAGAGAAGCTCTCAAGGAGTAATTGCAGAGAGAGAAACGTAGAGATTAACTACCTCCTTCGGAGGTAGTTGGGGGGTATTTATAGCCCCTTGGTGCTAACACACATCTGCACGTGTAAGCATCCCCTTGGCCCACGTGGCGCTGGTCACGGGGGTATGCTTGTACTGATGCTCCTTCAGCTTGGGCTAATTGGTGGTAACTTAGGCCCGTTATGCACATCCTTGTTTGGGTGTTGGGCCAGTTTAGTGCCGATCTTCACTATTCTCTTCGGCACATCCGGGTTTAAACGCACCGTTTCCACTGGCTCTACTGGCTCTGCCTTCTACTCAACGCTCTTAGGTCGATGCTTAATGTCAGATATACTCATTGTCTGTTGACCGAGCTGGGTTGGCTTGCGACCTTCAGCACTCGCCGGGGCTGCGGTGAGCTCGACCTTCTTGAACGTGTCTTGATAACATGCTCTAGCCATCTTCTGATTCCCTTTCAGCACTCCTACCCCCTGAGGAGTTGGGAATTTCATACAGAGATGGGGCTGTGTGATAACAGCCTTCAGCTCGCACAGAGTGGCTCTTCCTAATATAGCATTGAAAGCTGATTCCATCTTCACGACCAGGAAGGTGACGGAAGCCATCCTGAAGCGCGGTTCTGAGCCCACATATATGGGAAGAGTAATAACTCCCTCAACCGGGACGGGCTGGTTATCGAACCCGTATATTGGGCCTTCGTGTTTCTGCAGCGAGCTTGGATTTAGTTGCATCTTCTGGAAGCAACTCCAATACAGGATATCTGGTGAACTGCCAGTGTCAATGAACACTTTATTGACATTATGATTGCCTATATGAACCGTTGCCACAAAGGGATCTGCATAGGGCATCATAATGTCGGGCTCTCCCTCTGCTCGCTTGTAATCTGCCGGGCTGAATGTGATAGGCGTATTCTCCCATTCTGCTTCTTCAAACAGCTGCTTCAAGGGTTTATTTTTGTTAACAGTCATCACCTGTCGGGCATATGCCTTGCGAGCTCGGGCGCTTTGGCCCCCAGAGTGAACACCACCTGATATCATGTTTATTGTACCCGAGGGCGGAGGTATCCCAGCATAGCCTACCCCTTTCTTATCCTTTTGGTTCTGGGCAGCAGCCCTCTGCCCCTGTCCTCTTTTGTTGAACGGACGCCCTCTGTATGCCCTGCCCTGCTCCGAAGGATATGAATTGTCCTGATATACATCCTGCGCCCCGCCGAGCTGGTACCTCTACCCCTGAGGTCGGTCATACCCTTGTACAAAATGAGTTTGAGTGGGTTGCTGGGCGTGAGGCTTCTGAACATATCCTTCTAATTTCCCATTGCGAGCCAGGAACCCCAGTTCGTCCTTCAGATGTTGGCAGTCTTTTGTGTTGTGACCATAAGTACGATGGCAGTCACAATGCTTGCTCTTGTTCGCCCTTGGGGACTCATACAGTGGGGGTGGGGGTCTTCTAACCCAGTGTTGTATTTGTGCAAGGATTTGGGACCTGGGCAAGGTTAAAGGAATGTAATTAGCATACTTGGGGAAGTCAGCGGGCTTCCCCCACTGCTCGTTGACTTTCTGCTTCTTTTTCTCTTCCCTTCTCGGTGGCTGTTCCTGGCTTTTGTTCTGTTTATCGTTGGCTCGTCGCTTGGACGATTGGAAGTCTTCTGATAATATGAAGCTAGCCGACCTGTCATTCACCTCGTTCCAAGTTCTCGGTGGGTTTTCTAGGAGGTCGTCCAAGAAACTGCCACGCTTCAGACCATGTAGCAAGGTGGACAGGCAGATGGTATCTGGGACGTTATCAATGTCCAAAGTAGCTTTGTTGAATCGCTGCATATAGTCCCTCAGAGATTCCCCTTCCTTTTGATTGACTTGCATCAGCTCGGTTGCTGTGCGTTTGATCTCTCTCTGGCTCGCGAATTTGTTAGAGAATAGCTTGGTGAGCTGGGAGTATGAGTCTATAGAATGTCTGGGGAGCTTGTGATACCATCTCCTGGCTGTTGATTTCAGTGTCGTTGGGAACACTTTGCACATCATGGCATCATTAGCATTTTGGATTCTCATGATGGCTTGATAGGTGTGCAGATGTTCATCTGGGTCACCCGAGCCATCATATGTCTCCAGGTGAGGAATCTTGAATCCCTCTTGATATGGTTCCACTATGATGGATAAGTTCAATGGAGCACTATCCAAATCAAGGGTTTGTTGGTGCGACCTGGGACTTTTCAGCTCGTCAATGGACTTCTGTACGTCCCGCAGCTGCCTTTCAAGGTCTGCGTTTTTTCTCATCAATTCTTCATTATGCTTGGACGAGCTGGGTTCGTTATTCAACTTCCCACTTCCCCTTGGCCTGGTCGGCACCACTACGTTGCTTAGAGCGGGGGAATTTCGAGTTGCAACAACCGTAGCTGGTTGTGCATCCCGGTTCAACAAAGGAATCAGGGGATCGTCTGGAATCAGGCGGGCAAGGATTTTACCCATTGCCATTTCCAGAATTCTGGTTCTCTCTTCGAGCTCGGTAGTCCGAGCAGGTTCTGTTGACCTTTTAGGTCGTTCGCGCTGTGAATTGTATGGTCTAGAAGGTCTTGATCTTGTTCCTGTTGGAGCTTGGAACTGTTCCGGCTGGGTTGCATACCACGTTGGTGTTCTTTCATCATCATCCATTTCGCTTAGGTGATCCTGTTCGGCTCCCCCTACAAAAAGATTTCTTGGCATTGGCCTGAAGTCATTCAAGTCGGGCTCAGATGCTTGGGCGTCCTCCTGTTCGTCCATCTCATTTCTTGGAGGGCGACCTCCTGTAAAGGTACGAACCATATTATCTTTCAGCAAGTTAAGCCACACAACTTCTTGTTCGATTCCCACAGACGGCGCCAAATGTTTGGGCAACTTCGCAGTCCAACACTGTTGAAGTTCTTAGCTGCTTCCACACCTGAAAATCCCGAGGTTGTTTCCTCGAGGAAAACACTCCGACGCTCAAGTCAACAATACTCAATGTTATAGAGAGAGAAGCTCTCAAGGAGTAATTGCAGAGAGAGAAGCGTAGAGATTAATTACCTCATTCGGAGGTAGTTGGGGGGTATTTATAACCCCTTGGTGCTGACACACATCTGCACGTGTAAGCATTCCCTTGGCCCACGTGGCGCTGGTCATGCGGGTATGCTTGTACTGATGCTCCTTCAGCTTGGGCTAATTGGTGGTAACTTAGGCCCGTTATGCACAGCCCTGTTTGGGTGTTGGGCCTGTTAGGCCTATTCCAACAAGGTCATTAAAGGCAACACTAAAAGTTCCAAGGTACTTGATTTGGACAATCTGAGGAGGTATAGGTCCTGTTAGTCTGTTGTGGGAGAGGTCTAAACTCTCCAAATTTGAGAGGTTTTGGAAGGATGTTGGAATATGACCGATGAAAAGATTGTGAGACACGTTCAAAGAATGGAGTTCAGATAATTCAGCAATTTCAACAGGAATCTCACAGCCTAACTGGTTATCTGAGAAATCAATACTAGTCATAAGAGTGAGAGGAATACCTTGGAAAGAATACGAATTGCCCTTAGTGGTGAAATCAATTGGAACCCAAGAGTCTGCTTGAAACTTCTTTCTCCAGACTAAATTGTTTCCAAGGCAAGAAGGAACGTTCCCAGAGAAGCTGTTTTTGGAAAAATCTAAGAATTGCAATTTTTGCGTTGTGCAAAGTTGCCTGGGAATGTACCCTCCGAAATCATTTCCTCCCAAAAGAAATGCTCCTAGTTGCTTGAAAACAAGTAGTTGGCCTGAAATAGTTCCGGACAGCAAGTTTTTTATTATATCTAGCAGCATCAAAGACAGACCGCTCAATAAACACACTGGCAAATTCCCATTGAACTGATTGTTGTGCAGTAATAACCATCTCAGTTGTGTCATATTACAATATTTTTGGAAGCATCTCCCCGATCAAGCTATTGTTTGATAGATTCAAGTACCATAGAGGGGAGTTTGGGGTTAGGCCACTTGGAATAGCTCCAAAGAGGAGATTGCTCAATGAATCCAAGTGTTCCATATTTTTCAATTCACCTAAGGAGGAGGGAGTGCTACCAAAGAACATATTGGAGGATGCATTGAACCTATAGAGTTTGGGAAGAGACAAATTGATGTCTAAGGGCAGTCTCCCTACAAAATGATTATCTGAGATATCTAGTTCAACAAGTGTGGATACAATATTTTGCAAGTCTTGAGGAAATTGACTCAAAAAACAATTACCTCGTAGCCTCAATACAGAAGAAACATTATGAAGCATCCAAAAGGGAAAGTTTCCTGTAAGTAAGTTACTAGACAAATCTACAGTCTGTAGGTTATTTTGGTTAAGAAGGAAGCTGGGAATGTTCTGGACAGTTTGGTTATTGAGGTTGCATCCTGCGAAAACGAGATGTTGTATTTGAAAGGAAGAGTGCCAACTTGGGGTTTCAGATTCCACTTCTAAATAGTGATTGTAAGAAAGATCTATGTAAGAAAGCCTCGAAAGGTTTGCGAAAACAAAAAGTGGCACAATACCTTGAAAAAGTTTGTGAGAAACATCGATGTATTCTGCTTTTGAAAGATTAGCAAAGATGGAGGCAAGGTTCCCTTGAAATTGGTTCTTTGACAAATCTAATGTTCTCAGTGATGGCAAGTTCCCCCAACATGGTTCCACAAAATCTTCTTCAATTGAGTTGGATGAAAGATCCAAACGTTGCAAGTAATCAAGTTTGCATAATGCTGAAAATCATGAGTCCAAAATTATGTTGTAAGTAATAGCTACACATAGGGACAATCAAAATTAAAGAGCAAAAAGAATATATAAATAAGAACCTCACCTTTAGGGTTAAACAATCCACCAATGTTATTGCCTTAAAGATGTAACTCTTGCAATTCTTTGAGTTGAGCAAACAAACTCAAATCCGAAAACATAATTCTTTATCTTCCCTAATATTTTTAAAGAAAATCTTGACAACATGAGGGTTTGTAAGGCTACATTCAACTTCTTTCCACTTGCAACAATCGTCAGAGTATTTGCTTGGGTAAGGATATTCATTTCCAAAACCCATAGATTCTATTATTTGCTCAAGAGCTCTCCTCTCGTCATCTAGGCAACCTTTGCACCATCCATTGTTGTGAAAGACTATTAGCACTACAAACAGAAACAACTCAATAATATTAGCAAAGAAAATTGTCATGGTGGCAAATTATGCAGTTTTAACTCTCTCTCTCTCTCTCTCTCTCTCTCTCTCTCTCTCTCTCCTTACACTAGTAAATTACACCCTGTTCCTAAGGAAGATAAACTAAAAAAAAAGCACCAATATACAACAGTGTTTCATTCTTTTTTTTCTTTTATAATCAGCACAAACAGTGTTTCATTCTAGTATTCAAGCAGAGGAAATGAAGAGTGGTAGAAAAGCCTAAGATTTGCACTAGAGAGAGAGAATTCATTTAATTTCGTGGAGATGTCATTTCTTATGTTATCCCTGTATTGCATAGAAATTGGATCTAAACTTATGTATTTGGACATGTCAATAAGAAAGTTTCCTTGTTACCACTAGAGGACCAATAGAAGACTAGGGAAGTTGCATGAAAGCTCACAAAGTTCCTTTTTTATCAAAAGGGACCAATAGCATGCAAGCAAAGACTTTGACTTTGAATGTAAATGATTCGTGTAATCCAACTACCAAATTCTTTTCGCCAACCAATTGATTTTCTACTTTGAAATGTATATCTCTATTTGTTTCTTTTCCTTATCCATACTGGACAACCAGAGAAAGACACATGAAGGTTCATCGCAGCAAGTACACATGGTCAAATTATTGATTTAATTACCATAGAAATTTCACTTGACATGACTGGCAGAAAGAGAAACTTTGATATATGCAAACTGGATAAGAAATGACACCTAATTAGGAAGCTCAACAATTTTCATGAACAAAGAAACTTTTCTCATGGAGATTACATTTACTTACAATTTCTTCTTGTTCTTTCTCTTGCTTATGTGCCTCAAGTGCCATGGTTGCATGGATGAAGAAAGGGATGCTCTCCTGCAAATCAAAAGTTCAATAAATAGTCCACAGGGAACTGCTTTTTCAAGTTGGTATGGGGAAGACTGTTGCCAATGGGAGGGTGTTGAGTGCAATCCATCGACAACTCGTGTCATTAGGATCAGCTTTCACCATAGGAGGGATCAAAGCTTGCCTGAATTATGGTACCCAAATGCTACCTTATTTGCTCAGTTTAAGGACTTGCGAGAACTTGAACTACCTGGAAATCAAATTGGGGGACTCATTTCACCCAACGGTAAACACTGTGAACTATATGTTCTTTGTTTCTTCTTGTTACTAACCATTGTTAAAAGTGGGGAAAAAAGAATAGAATAAAAAGGAGGAAATTTTGAGAGCAATTTTTTTTAATATTTTATTTTAATGTTGAAACAAAATTGAACAAAGTTAGACAAAGATTAAGGTTACTCAAGATTTAGGATGATTATAACCTTTTTAATAGACAAGATTTAAGGTGTAAAGTATTAAAATTTTCTCTCTATATATCAATACCATCTATCCTGTCTCAAATTTCACAATAACCTACTAAACAATATTCTAATTTTATGGATGAAACATGCAGAGCTTGGACGACTAAAGCAGCTTCAGAAGATTGATGTCCATGACAACTCCATACAAGTTGGTTCACATCTCTGTTGGGGGAAAATTCCTTCACTTCGTTTCCTAGATTTGTCAACAAACAAGTTAGAAGGTGACATTACAAAATGCCTGTGTGAGAATCTTCGTGTCAAAGAGCTATTTCTGTCCGGTAACTTTCTGATCGGAAACATTGACGCCACATGCTTGAGAAATCTGACTTCACTTGAATACGTAGATCTCTCTGATAATAGTTTCAATGGCTCCTTTCCTTCGTTATCAATTAGCAACCTAAAAAATATTCAATCAGTTATTCTCTCAGGAAATGAGTTCAAGGGCAGGATTTCACTTTCGCACTTTGCGAATTTATCGAGGCTAAGTTACCTTGACATCTCATGGAATTCCTTGGAAGTTGAAACTGAGACCATAACTTGGGTTCCATCTTTCAATCTGTCTGTGCTAAATTTAGCCGCTTGTAACCTCAAGACCATCCCCAGCTTCATTTCCTCACAAAGGCACTTGGAATCACTAGATTTATCATACAATTCACTCATAGGGAAGATTCCTTCATGGATGCTTGACAATGTCACTAAAAAATTACAGCTAAGAGGAAATGGTTTCATAGGACCATTTCCTAAGTCCTTTCAGAACAGTTCACAGCTTAATGAACTTGACATCTCTGATAATCTTTTATCGGGGTCATTTCCTGAAGATATTGGTGTCAATTTTCCAGAATTGCACAGTCTAAATGCTTCCTGGAATAATTTTAGTGGCAGGCTTCCTCCATCCTTTGGTAGAATGAGACAGCTTCTGTTTCTGGAACTATCAGGCAATCAATTCCATGGAGAAATCCCCTATGGCATGACGAGCAATATGAGCTCTCTTCAATATTTGGGATTATCTCGAAACAACTTGACAGGAGACGCACTTCCAAAAAATTCCAGCTTGCCTAAGTTGAGGTGGCTTTATCTTCACAGAAATCACTTCACTGGAAACGTCCCAGATAGCCTGTCAAAGAGCAAGGATTTGCTGGTCGCTGACATTCGAGAAACAGACATGTCAGGTGTGCTTTCATCATACTTGCATGTTCTCCCTCAAATAAGAGTGCTCCTCCTTGGAGGAAACAATTTTGAAGGGGAAATACCACAGCAACTATGCCAGATGAGACATTTGCATGTTTTAGACCTTTCAAGGAATAATCTTTCCGGTGGCATTCCGAAATGTATTGATAATATTACTTCCTGGACAAGTGAGACACCTGATCTCAACTTTCCATGGCGCCGTTGGACTACATTTGAATTCAATACCAAAGGTTTTTCATATACATATAGGGGAAGGTTGAGCTCCTATATGTTTGGCATAGATATGTCCTTCAACAGATTGACAGGGACAATCCCTCTCCAAATGGGACAACTGGGTATGATTCATAGCCTGAACTTGAGCAACAACCTTCTCACAGGTCAAATACCAGCAACCTTTGCAAACATAACGGCGTTAGAAAGCCTAGATCTTTCCCGCAACATTCTCTCTGGTAAACTACCCCGGCAATTATCTGCTCTTGATTTTCTGACGTTTTTTAATGTTTCTTTCAACAATCTGTCAGGATGGTTACCACCACGTAAAGGACAGTTCGGAACATTTGATAAATCTTCTTACATGGGAAATCCTGGTCTTTGTGGCCGACCACTGGATAAGGAATGTGATGAAGTTCTGGGGAAGTCGTCCTCTTTCTTCCCAAATAAGGCCACCACAAACACTTTACTACTACCGTCTTTATGTGCCGTTTTTCTTCTTTTTTTAAGAATAAATGTATAAGTTTGATTTTCAAATATGTTTTTTTTTTTCCCTTTCCCAGTTCTCCTTGTAGCACGAAAGGGTGCGAGTTCATGAAAGAAAGGATCGTGTAAGCTTGAACAATGTCAGTGGAAAATGTTATAATAAAGTTATTATTATTATGGAAAAGAAAAAATAAGAATATTTTAATATTAAAGATGTTAAGATATTTAACAATAATTAAATAATAAATTTAATAAAATTAAAATTTATATTATATATTATATATTTAATGATTATAATTAAATATCTTGACTACTAATTTTTTGTTTACTCTATTATTATTATTATTTTACTAACTGTGAAGTGTCATAATAATTTGTTTTCTAAGGAAATGTCTCTAGCACTCCATCCGGACTCCAGAGGACAAAATCAATGCTCTTGCTACACTGACAAAAGTTGGTGTAGTCGTTCTTTTTCCTCTGAGGTTTCGATGTAATTTTGTGGTAATTGTTAAGCAGTAGGAGTTTACTAGTACCCTCCAGTGCAAATTGTTGTCTTTTGTTTAGTTCAATTGTAGAATGCGTTTATTTTTTTAAAAATAATATTAAAGTTAATCAAAGAGATAAAAAAAAAAAGCGTTAATCATGGTACTCTTTCCACTGCCTTACAAATTAAGATTCAACTTCGAAATTTTTAAGATATTAATGTATTATTTTAACAAAAAATGAAAGTTCATCCATTCAGAACATAAGAACTGAAAAAAAGTATCAACAGAATTTCCAGGAATTCCTGCGTGGTTGGAATTGGAAGCAACAAAGACCGAGGGGCAAAATAGGTCAGCCACACTTTTATAGCAGACTATTTTGTAATTTGGGCTCTCACCAAGCAGAGATGTTGAAGCACAAGCATGAATAACCAAATTTCCTATGCAGGTAATGATAATTTGTTTATCATTTATTTTCCAATACTGATCTTGTTAAAATTCCAAAACAATTGATTGCAAATTTGAAATTCTATAGAGCTAATATGTACTGTGCATATTCTTGAATTGCTTTACGTGCAGTGAAATTTTAAAGCATGAGCAGGAGGTCTATAGAAGAAAATACTATCCCAATAATAAGCAAAATATTATTAAATCGTACACTGTCTAGTCTCAACAATTTCATGAACTACTGCTTGTCCTAAAATTGTACAATTTATCGAGAGTGAATAGAGCAAGGGAGAGGGGTAGATAAGGCAAAATATTGCATGAAATAAGGTACGGAAATACAAGTTTAAAATGTAATGTAATGGAAGAAAACAGAACTCATTCAATAGACATATCATTTTTACATGTCCTGGGAAGGGCAACAGGAAGACTCAAGAAGTTTACTAGAGCTTTAGCAAAACCAGAGGAACCACAATTACTTGGAAGTTTATTGTAAGCAAAAATTTGACTACAAGAGGTTCCCCAACAACATGGAGGACTTTCACTAGCAAACTTTATTATGAATACAATAGGAAGACTTGGGAAGTTCCATGGATTTTATGACCCACAGGAATGGCAATTACTTGGAAGTTCAAAGACATGACTTGAAACGTTCCCAAAGGACATTTGGAACTTTCTGTAGCTGACTTGATTATGAATGCAATAGGAAGACTTGGGAAGTTCCATGGAGTTTAACAGGACAAGAGGAATGTTAATTACTTGGAACTTTATTGTAAGCAAAGACTCGACTTGATGTGGCCCCCAACAACATTAAGAACTTTCTCTGGCCGACTTGCCTATGAAATGTTAGACTAAAAAAATTGTTAATGCAATTTATTTCCAGCTCCTTTCAAATTGACACTACTTTCTAAAATGATTCTATAGTGATATTTTTCCCAAATAGATCCATTTGTAAAAAGTTTTCAAGATGTAAGTGTAAGAAATTGATTGTTTAATACGTATGCATACTGCAGCTCTTCAGAACAGCCAACTCTGTTTTTGCAAAATTTAATGGCATGCACAGTTTCAGTACTCATTAAGATGACTTCTGTAATCAAATTAATGCTTCCCAAGTAAATAAATGGCTTATTTACTTCTCCCTGAATGTTGATCTAAATGGCAACATCATCTTTGTCTTCTTTTCTTCTTCCCTATCCAAACTGGAGCTCCCGACAAAGACATTCAATCCTTCTGCAAGTAAACATTGCCAAATTGTTGATATAATTTCCCCCAAAATTTCACTCGTCTTGATCTGCAGAAAGAGCAGTTTTGTTTTTGAAAAATGAAAACCATAAAAGAAACGATATACAATTTAGGGCGTTCAACAATTCTTCTCATTAGTATCACCCTTCCCCATAGGACGGGTTTCATCATGTAAACCATTATATATGAAAAGTAGGAAAAAGAAATAGCAGAAGGGAGGAAGAATAACAATTAAGAGACGAGGTTGTGAATTGTTGGAGTTGTGGTGTCAAAGCTATGCAAATGGCAGCAAATGAAAAGAAGGGAGAGCTGCACCAACAGCACAGTAGCAGCAGAAGTGTAGCAAGCTAAGCTGCAAATGTTGATGAAATGAGGCTGCAATGAACAGCAAATAAAATGCAAATGCAAATGAAAGGCGGCATAGTAGCAGCAAAGTACAACAACATGGAGCCGCACAAATGGCAGCAAATCTTTTGTTCATATTTTTCACAAAGAAAATGGAGAGAACATCGGTAGGAAGATGAAGAGCAAAACCCAATGAAAAATGGAGAGAAAACCAGGAGGAGCATAAACGAAAATGGAGAAGAAGTATATTACTTCAACTCAGAAATATCATTGATATTTTGCTATATTTATAGCAAAAACAACATTAAAAAATAATTTCTTCTCACCTAATATTTTACCTAAAACAAGAAAATCTATCAAACATTTAAAACAAGATTACATTCAAAAGATTTGTTGCCATTTTGCAGCCCATGTGCAACTTCATGCTGTTGTCAGTTTGCTGATACTGTGCAGTCATGTTGCAACTCTCACATCTTTCAATTTGCTCCCATTGCTGCAGCTTTGACACCACAACTCTAACACTCCTCCTTGGTGTTAAAGTTGTAAAATCAAAACAAAAATAGATTTATGCCAAAGCACATGGGATCAGCCCTTTGTTGTCCATCTTGTGCTTGGTTTTCACATTTTTTCTCCACAGTCATGTACCATACTTCTCAAACAACCTCAGCTCCTCCTTCATTACAGCTTTCCTTCTTTGGATTTTGCTGCCTCAAACAAATTTTGGAGGTTTTGCAACTAAGTTGCATTTTCTGAGTAAATAAAACAAGGATTTTGGTACCTCAAAGTGCTGCTTCATCATCTTCTACATCTTCTACAGCTTTCTTGGGCTAAAGACTTGGCTACTCAGTCATGAAAATGACTTGATGAAATGTTGAGTACTCTCATGGTCCCAATCTGTACCTTCACAAGCCATCCTTGCCTTTTTGGACTAATACTGTAGCATAAAACACCACCCATACCAGTAACATAAAACATCATCAAACTAGCATTTTTTTATCTTGCTTCTTGCAGATCTTCTGCCTCAAGAAGATTGAAGGACATTAAGTTAACCTTCAACTTCACAGCTTCACATACTCTCTTCTACCTTAACAAATTGGTTGCATCCTTTTATCAACCACTTTGAAAGATTGAAGGACCTAAAGTTAACCTTCATCATCACAGCATCTTTGCTGCAGTTTTGGTCAGAGGAGTTTGTTGTGGTGGGTCAGAAAAGAAAATATTTGAAAGAAAAAACTTGCTGGAAACTATTTGGGTTTGGCCAGAGTTTATGGTGGTAGATTTCTCTCAAATCACTCTCATACAGGCCCTCAAAGATCATGACAAGTTCTGATACCATGTTCATATTTTTCACGAAGAAAATGGAGAGAACATCAGTAGGAAGATGAAGAGTAGAACCCAACTAAAAATGGAGAGAAAACCAAGAGGAGCATAAACGAAAATGGAGAAGAAGTATATTACTTCAACTCAGAAATATCATCGATATTTTGCTATATTTATAGCAAAAACAACATAATAAAAAATAATTTCTTCTCACCTAATATTTTACCTAATATAAGAAAATCTATCAAACATTTAAAACAAGATTACATTCAAAAGATTTGCTGCCATTTTGCAGCCCATGTGCAACTTCATGCTGTTGTCAATTTGCTGCTACTGTGCAGTCATGTTGCAGCTCTCACGTCTTTCAATTTGCTCCCACTGCTGTAGCTTTGATGCCACAACTCTAACATCTTTTAATGTTATCTTGCATTAAATGTTTGATAGATTTTCTTGTATTAGGTAAATATTAAGTGAAAAAATGATTGTTGATGTATTCAGATATTTCTACCATATAATGGCAGAAGATGAAAAAAAAAAGGGTTTGACCTCACCAATTGAGGTAACTCTACAGTGTCTCTCTCCTTCTCCTCCAAGTCCTCTCTCTAAACACCCTTTTTACCACCAAAAATCCAACATGAATATCTTATTTTACAATTTAAGGATCAAAGAAATTAAAAGAACAAAGTTTGATCGTTTTCTTCTATATGATCTGTTCTATCTCACAATTCACAATAATCTAGCTATTTTGGTTAATTGTCTATTGTATTCTAATTTTATGGAGGAAACTCAAATTCCTGCCATCTTTGAAACTTCAGGGCACTAGAAATACTAGATATCACTGGTGAAGTACAACTTACTACTCTTCTGGTGTTGACATTTTAAATGTTTCATTCAATAATCTGTCAGGAAGGTTATCACATATAGGGCAGAATTCTGACCAATTGAAAATGAATCTTGAAAAATCTCAGCCTTTGTGGCCGTTCATTAGGAAGGGAATTTGATGAGGTTGCAGATTAGTCATCCTGTTTCTTCTAAAGGCCACCTTATTTATACACTAGGGTAATATAGTTTTTGTGTTCCAAATTTTCTTCTTTTTCTCAGTATAAATGTGTACACTGGACTTCTTCATTCGTTTTCTATTTTTCCTCTCCCTCTTCTGTTTCCCTTGTAAGGTTGGACTTTCATGAATGGAAAGATCATATAAGCTTGAACTTCATCGGACAAAAAAAAAATAGCAAATGCAAAATTATTTCTATTCTTAACAGTGTTATAAAAATTCGAGTTTGTCTCATATATGAAAATATATTTCAAGAACTCCTTTTCTAAGGAAATGTCTCAAGCACTCTATTCAGACTCCAAAAGACAAAATCAACACTCTTGATGCTGACATAAGTTGGTGCAATCATTTTTTGTCCTCTGAAATTCCAATGTAATTGTATGGTAATTCTCTATATTTAAATCATAAAGGATATACATGAGATGATCTTATTGGTTGAAATTAACAAAGTCAAGAAATAGATTATAAATTCCACTCATTTTGGTTATCGTAATTTAAACACATGTATTTGCCTTCTGTCTAATTTGAACTGTAGTCCGATGTTGTACCAACATAACTGCATCTAACAGAAATGTTAATCAAAGAGAGTAAAAAAATAGTTGAAGGGTACTATTAGGTTGTTGTTTTAGCTCTTGTGGTTTGTTGTTGTTGTTATGATCAAATACCTAAACAACTGAGGCTAAAATAAGGGCATTACAAATTTTGACTCCATAACGTTCAGTAAATCAGTACAACTTTAAAAGATAATAAAAACAACAAGATGAGGATAGAAAACAACATCTCAAACAAATTCAGATTCAACTTCAAAATTTTCTGAAAAGTTCATCATTCAGAACATAAGAAAAAAAAGTATCAAAAGAATTTCTAGGAAATTCTACATGGTTGGAACTTAGAAGCAACAGAGACTGATGAAAATGCGTCCCTAACCTGTCATTGCAGATTATCCTGTAACTTGGGTCCTTGTGACAAGCCATGTTGTTGGAGCACAAGTATGAATAATCAAAATTTCCCGTAAAGATAATGCTTATTTGAATAACATTATTTTCCTCAACAGATTGTGCTAAAATTCAACACACCGAAAGGGCAAAACTGCTACAAGTTTGCAGATATGAAATTCTATTGAGCTAATATGTTCTGTGCGTAATCTTGAACAATTTGGAATAAACGTAATCCACAAACAAAATGAACAACATGTCAAATTTTCAAGTCTAATGATATTCCTTAGATCCATTACCCTTTATATACAATCAAAATTTAAAGCTTGTGCAGGAACAGCAAGGTCGATAGAAGAATTTACTATCCCACTAATAATAAGCAAATTACTATCCCTTGATACACTGTCTCAAGTCTCAAAAATTTCATGAACCCGTATTTGACCTAAAAATGCACAATTCACCAAAAGTGAATAAAGCAAGTAATAGAGGTAGAGAAGGTCGAAAGTTACATAAAATAAAGTATGGAAATACAAGTTTAAAATATAAAGGAAGACTCATTCAATGGACGTTACCTGGAGTGGTGCCTCAACAACATTGAGGACTTTCTGTAGCAAACTTGACTATGAATGCAATATAAAGACTTGAGAAGTTTCATGGAGTTTATGAGAGCCAGGCGTATGGCAATTACTCGGAAGTTTATCGTAAGCAAAGACTTGATGAGAAGCGTTCGCCCGATAATGTTGAGGACTTTCTGTAGCAGACTTGACAATGAGTGTAATAGGAAGATTTGGGAAGTTCCATGAATTTCATCAGAAAAAGTATGGCAATTGGAAGATTAAAGAGAAAATTCAATGCAGAAAATTCAAGCAATGTAGTAAGTGATTGTAAGGATAGGTCCGAGGTGCCAAGCCTCAGACTGCTACAGTAATTCCTTTATGACCGAAGTGAGAAATGAATCCAAAGCTCCCTGCTCAAATAGCTGCATGACAATGACAATAAGCACGCTCACACCTGATTCCTTATGACGAGTGGCACAATAAGTATGGTGGATATCCGTGCATCTGAATACTTCTGAAATTCCCGGTCTCGAAATAATCGTCTGGATAGACACATCAGGCTCCGATTGTCCTGCTAAGCAAGCCACGTGGATACCTCACAAAGACCTATAAATACTCCCAGGGGCCACCTCAGAAAGGTAATTGAAACCAACCTTAAGCTCTTTTTATCTCCGCTCTAAAGGTAGCCCCGATTATTGCTAACTTAAGTATCGGAGTGTCTACCCCGAGTTCTACCTCGGGGCTTTGCAGGTCTTCCCAGAGTGCAAGCGTGGACTGAAGAAGAACTCCTGGTTTGGTGCAATTACATTGGCGCCGTCTGTGGGAAACGAATTGAAAGCCTTCTAGTTGCTCTTTCATCATGGTCCACACTCGATCAATCAGAGCTGGTAATTCATCTCTGCCTCATGGGCAGGGTCAACCCCCCACCAACCTTCCACCTCTGATCCCACCTCAACTTACACCTCAGCCTCCACCTCAGGTCCCAATTATGTTCCCTCCTGTTGATCATGCAGAAG